TTCAAAATTGAATCCCGCCACAACTCCAAAGACAAGATACATCACCATCCCTAAGGAACTAAGCAGCAAAATGTACTCACCTCCAGAAATTTTACGTGGGTTACTAGTTGGAACGCACTGATCATATAAAAGTCCAAAGCTAAGGAACACAAGACCCATCATGATGATGGTGTACATGTACAGACGGTATATTTCCAGAAACGTGTACAGACTGTGTAGTTCTTTCTCGTTTTTCTCTGTCAGGATGGCCAGTACGATAATAAGCAGGACAACAACGAGAACCGCCCCAACAGCAGCACTTAGGTGCAGAAGTGCTGACTTTCCTGTGCGCTCCATTGTTGTATGATGTTTTTTGGTCTATTTCGAAGTATTCGCTACTCAGTAGAGGGGTTCTTTCCCTTTGTATATCAGAATGGGTTATGAGGAAATTTCTTATAATTGTTTATTTTTGCCGAAGACCTAATTTGAAAGAGCAATCCGATGGAAACAAAGCAGAATTCGGCCATTATAGGCAACACGTATGGAAATGCATTCATTGGGGCAGTTGAAAGATTCCACTCCAAAGCTATTAACTTTTGTTTCATTAAAATTAAGATGAATGAAATGTCTTTCCTGTGCCAATATTGAGTCAAACCAGACTGACAAATTTGCCACAACGATGAAAATCATGCTATAATGGACAAAAAGGGATCCTACGATTTCTGTATTTCTAAAGTAACTTATGAACGCTGTTTGTAGACAAGCAAAGACGAAGAGCAAAATATTCCAAATAATACTGACGTAGGACCTCGCTAAATGGTAGGAGGTGCCTACATTGTGAAATCTTCTAGCCATTCTGAGCGCTGCTCGAACGATCGACCCCAAGCCGAACAGCCACAAAAACTTAAGCCTCAGTCCTGTTGGTTTGGTATTGGTGGTATAGTTAACCGTGATCTCATTTTCACGCATCTGTCTTCTAAACTTCACCCAGAGAAATACCAGGGCAACAGTACCAATGAAAACTACTGTTATCAGAACGAAACGAATTGAGTTATTGGAATCTACGTGCAAAGGTGTGGAAGAAACGAAAATTGTAACAAACGCTACGCCTATGAGGTACACAGCAATGGCGAGGGTAAAACATTGCCCAAACAGTATTCTTAAGGTATTCAATCCATAATTGCAAGAGATTCAATGAAATTGGATACATAACAGATATTTAGGTGTTGATTACTTGGTATGTTTAGACATAATTTCCATTATTACTAATAGCATGTAAGATTTGGATGTTTCCTAATCTATGTCCTTGAATTTTGGTAAGAGTTATCTCATTTTATTTTTAATAAATAAAAAAAATTAATTGAAAAATATTATTCGGTAAAAAAAAATCTTTTGAATTGTAATTTTATTTCTCATGTATCAAAGCATCTTTCCACAACAGGATTTAATGATATTCATTTTATTTGAATTTTTATTTAAAAGAAACTTTTCCCCATAAATTTCAATGCAATTTTTGTTAATAAACTATTTCTTTGTTAATGAAATTTTTGAAACTTTCCCGCGAGCCATCTTTTTGTAGCATACAATGCTTTCATTCAATATCAGAATATTCTGTATTTGATGGACATTTAATGGTAGAGAATTTGGTCCTGTTAGGGAATGAAATGCTTAAAAAACGCAATGATTATATGGGTCTAAAAAAAATCAAGTAAATGTAAGTGAAACGTATTAAGTTTCAAACATTGTTTTTTTTTCATAATTAAGCGCTTACATAAATTCATATCGTTCATAAATTTAAGCTAAACACATGTTAATCAACTACTTTATATTTTAATTCGTAGTGCATCTTGAAATAATAACAAGAAGAAAGTGACTCAAACATTTTTATCTCAATTCATGGCATGCATACTAGAACATAATATAAATGGTGAAAACACATTGCAAAGGCCTACATGTAATAATTTAGCAAGAAGGACAGAGGAGAGGGACTATGTTCGAAATCGACAATAAACATCAAAGAAAGCTAAGGACAATTGAAACATATAAAACTCGGATATAGGAAACAATGTCCCGTTCATGACATCCAAAGCTCTCCGATCAAAGATCCGATTATTTTCTTTCATGACATAGGGCACATGTTTCTGAAGAAAACCGTCATTAAACCATAGACCGAGATTCATTATGAACATAAGCAAAATAACATGACTGATTCTGAAATGTCTTTCCCTTTTGAAATTTTGATACCGACGACTTTGTAGAACGAAGACTGTTTGATAATACACAATTAGCAGGCTCACTATGTCTTCAACCATGGTAATAACATAGACAATTTTTTCATGATTTACTATAGCATGAATTTTAAACAGCAAATACATTGTCTTTGCCGTAGAACTGAAAACCAGAATAACTTCTTCACTTGAAAAACTCGTGGTTGTTGATGTTGGTACACTTTGACTCCATAACATGCGAAAACAGATAGATGCAAGTAACAGAAGCATGGCTTTATAAAACAGACGATATTTCTCTAGTGCTCTAAAGACTTTTTCTTCATTACAAGGTTGCGCCATGAGAACTGCTACCAGAATCAAGAGCACAGAGACTAAAGTTACACCAATCACAACGCAAATGTACCACATGCACAATCTCATTTTAGTCGTAGCTTCCAGTTTAGCTAATTCGTCACATTCCAAAAGAGGACAATATTCGTTTATTAAATGACTGGGTTGCATGGTAATGGATTTTCTCTGCTTTGTCTTCGAAAGTATATTTAGTACAAAGCTGATTGATACGAGAGAATATTGAGCTGTGATAGGTAACAAATAGGGAAATACATTCTCAAACACACACCTGACCTGTGTAGCACCCGTGCAATTAAAAGTTTCCATTTCATTATTTTCGTTGCTAGTATTGCCAATTCTAATGTGAAATAAGTGCACTTCTTCAGCAACAATAGAATTAAACCAAAGACAAACGTTTGATAAAATTACAAAGTTTATTCCGTAATATATGCGCATGTTCCCAACAATGCTAGGCAGTTTGTAGAATAGGGAAATAAAGAATATCTGTCCACTGGCAAATACGATTAATAAAACATTCCAAATTATGCTAACTATGGAGCGTTCGATGTGAAATCCTAAGACAATACGCTCGACCCGTAAAATGATACTAAATATAGCCATTGTAAAAACACCCAAACAAAATAACATCAAAAATTTCAATTTCAGTCCCCTTGCGCAAATTTTATTATGTTCTATGGGCAATGTACTCTCATTTCCCTGTTTCCTGATTGCAAACGTAAGAACTAACAATCCTATGATTCCTCCCAAGACAAACGTAATGAGGACGTATCGGATAGCATTATCCGGGTCCTGATGTATGCTGTATTGTGCTGTTGTTATGGAAATAGACACAAAAACGACCCCGATCAGAAACGCTGCGAGGACGATGGTAGAGATGCTTCCGTCCGTTGAGGTCCGTCTTGAGCCAGTCTGATAGTTGTCCTGAAGGGTGATTTCCCGCCACAAAAGGAAAAACGATCAATGATTTCGCAAGGTCCAGCATCCCACCAACCTGTGTAAAATATTTTTCATGAATAATTAACCGTTTTGCTAAGGGTAAGTGAGTAGACATGATATACTTCCACCCGCTTGGATGGCCGTTGGGCCATCTTTGAAATAATGTTTGCGTGACCTCTCCCAACTCTTTTAAAATTAAAATTGTTGGAACGGTAGGTAGGAAAAATTTTTTTTCCAGAAAAATTCTCAACATGTTTTTTCACGGGAATAGGAATATAAAGAAACGTATCGTGTCTTTGAATGTCAACAAAAATGAATCGGGCTATTTGCATTTCCACTTCATAACCACCAGTTGTGCACCCCAACCCACAGGAACCACTGACCCTGGGGCCACAGGTTTCAATGCATTACTTTATTTTCAGACTGTGTAACCCCTCTTCCCCCCCCCCCCCCGGCAGTACCCCTAACCCAAGGGCCCTTTTGGAAAATGCATTTTTCTTCATCATAAATATGTACCTAGTTCATTGTCATATTACCAAGGAGCAAAGAAAAGGATTTCCAAAGAATTAATGCATTTTCACAATAAAATCATTAAAGCACCGCCCTAACATCAGAACCCCGGACTCCGAGGCCATGAAATTCACAAATTGGGAAGAAGCATCCTTCCCCATTATAACTATGTACATAGTTCATTGGTTTAACATCCAGGAGAAGAGGAGAAGATTTTTAAAGAATTTATGCATTTTCACTATATAATCAATAGAGTCCCACGCTAACACCAGAACCCCTAACCCTGGGGCCATGAAATTAACAATTTTAAAAGAGGCAGCCTTATTCAGCATAATCATGTACTTGGAAAGTTTATTTTATACCCAGCAGCAGAGAAGAAGATATTTAAAATAATTAATGCATTTTTATTAATTAATATACTAGTAATGAATAGAGCCCCGCCTTAACACCAGATCCACTGACCCCGGGCCCATAAAATTCACAATTTTGGAAGAGGCAGCATTTTTCAACATAACAATGTACTTGGTTAGTTTATTTAATACCCAGGAGCAGAGAAGAAGATTTTTATAAGAATTAATATATTTTCACTATATAACCAATAGAGCCCCGCCCTATCACCAGGACCTCTGACCCAGGGGCCACAAAATTCACAATTTTGGAAGAGGCATTCTCCCTTATTATAACTGTGTACTTGGTTTGTTTTTTATTACCCAGGAGCAGAGAAGAAGATTTTCAAAGAATTAATGCATTTTCACTGTATGACCAATAGAGCCCCGCCCTAACCCCTGACCCTGGGGCCATAAAATTCACAATTTTGGAGGAGGCGTTCTCGCTCATTAAAACGTACTTACTTTGATTGTTTAATACCCAGGAGCCGAGAAGATTTTCAAAGAATTAATATATTTTCATTACATCATCAATAGAGCCTCGCCCTAAGACCAGAACCCCTGACCCAGGGGCCATGGAATTCCCAATTTTGTAAGGGGCTATGGAATTCCCAATTTTGTAAGGGGCTGCCTTATTCAACATAACTATGTACTTGGTTAATTTATTTAATGCCAAGGAGTAGAGAAGAAGATTTTCAAAGAAATAATGCATTTTCACTATATGACCAATAGAGCCGGGCCCTAACACTAGCACACCTGACCCTGGGGACATGAATTTCACAATTTTGGTAGAGGACTCAATGCTGATTACAATCATACCGACAGTTTGACTGCTTGATGTCCAGGAGTAAAGAAGAAGATCTTTAAAGATTGCATTAATTTTAGTGGTTTCGGCCCCAACCGTCAGGCCTCAAAGGGGGGGGGGGGCAGGGACCATGAAATTCACAGTTTTTGTTTCCCTTCACCCGTAGATGCTTTCTACTAAAATTGGTTGAAATTGGTTGAGCGGTTGCAGAGAAGAAGCTGAAAATGTTCAAATATTAACGCACGGCGCACGACGGACGACGCACTACGACCGAAGAAAAGGATGGCAATGAAAATAAAAATAAAAATTCAGGCAAAGCAAGGAAATTTAGTTGTTACAAAATAGCAAATTACTGGAAAAAAATCGAATTTAACCTTCCTCAAAATAAGTACTTTCCACTTTTTAAAAAATTTCTTTTTGATTTAGCACTTTGAAAAAGTGAATTTAAATCCATTTCTGATAAAGAATCTGCAAATCTCATCATTTTATAAGGTTTGTTCCCCGATGACCGCACTTTAAAATCTGTGAATGTCCATTATATAAACTAAAATTTCAGGATAAAAATCAGCATTTTTGCTTTCCATGGTGATGGTAATAATATCACCCAAAATTACATCTGCATCAATGTCGATTTATGCACATAATAAATAAAAAATGTTCCAAAATACATGGAATAAAAAAACCCTTCTCGACCGGACCACTGCCCTGTTTAGCTAAACGACTGCTATTGAATGAATGAAATAAAAAAAAAAACAGTCTCATTTCTAGTATCTACTTATCAGACGGGTAAAAAACAATGGATGCCAGAACCCCCATTGTGCAATTATCAGACTCCTTCAGGTAACTTTCGAACATTTAAATGGCAATTATGTTTTAAGTAAGATATACTAGTATATATAATATGCAGAACAGCATTCGGCATATATCCATTACTTACATTTCTTCTGAGAGTCCCCATTTGGATTATTTAGAACTTTAATCTCTGCGTGTTCCTTGTGATTCTTTTTACGACGTAGATTTAAAAAAAAAGCATCCTTATTCAAATATTATTTTTCCCTTGTACCATTCTGGTTTATTTTCATTCAACCTGTATATTCATGTGTCTGAACGATCATGTTTTAAAGTACGTTAATATCCTTAATTATACATATTTTTTTTATTATAGAGAGTATTTCTAAGGGACTTCCTCATGGATAATCAAAAAAGTACAAACTAATTTTAGTAAATTATAGACATCTGTTACTTCGCTATGTACTATTTATGGCCAAGGACATATTAATAATACTGAAAAGAGTTCATATTTTAGTGCAAGTAAATGAAGTAAATAACACTTTACTAGCAAGAACTATTCACGTATTTAAGGATGTCCAACACACCTATCCCCAATATTGTTCGTATTTGCTTTGAAAAATTGCTTTATTTTCAAATGAAATATTTTTAATGAAAAAACAAACAATCACTTCCTTTAATTTTGAAAAAAAAAAAACTTTCTTCTTGCCCCCCCCCCCACCCTTTCGGGATATTGTATCTTTCTGCTGTTTTAATCAAATGGAAATGATGTCTTCTTTCTTATAAATTTCAATTGTACCAAATTGTAAATGTAAATTATTTAAAGGATGCCGTTTATACAATGTACATACATGCATAAGTATTGGGAATAAAACATCTCTCAAAATAATCAATCTCAAACATTCTTGATCTATTTGTATGCAAGTATCACAAGTATCTAGTCTGTCAAAAACTTAGACTCATTGAATCGTGGATCGAGTAAAGGCTTTTAAAAATCCTTACTTCGCAGGTTCGAATTCCATTGTGGGACATGCAGACCATTCCTTCAAATGAGACCGTATAAACCGATGTCCCGAGTCGCAGTAGGTACTGGCACGAAAAAGATCCCTCCCTGCTGAATGGCCGTAATTGCCGACTTTAAAAAGCCGGAATTTGCAGCTCTTCATCCGCAAGTGGTGGCGTCTTCATATGAATGAAAACTTTTCTAGAGGGACGTTAAACAAAAATCCGATAAAAACAAGTACACAGGGGGAAATTTACTCATTTGATATTCATGTAATAAAGTTGAAAATTGTGCGGAAATCAAGTAAAATAAAAACAAAATCATATGAATACGTGTATCATGCTTTGAAAAAGTTTATTGTATATTAATACCAACTGTATTTAGTTACAAAATGAGCATGACATTCATTCTTTGAATTGTTCAAGCCATCAATACGTAGCCTTTTAAAATTAAATTGATTTTAAGTAATACTATATGATTTTGTTTGATGTTTACAAGACAAAATGAAGAATTTCTAATTCCCCAGATCGATCTTCCACTCTGTCTCAAGAGTGTATCCTTCGTATTCTTGATATATTATTCCACGTACCCCTAGACATGCAAGGGTCAAAGGGGAGGGGTGTCGCTCCTAATACAGGAGCAGGAATTATAAATTTTACAAGTTTTGCGACGTGCATTAAAAATGCTTCAAAGGGAGCAAAACATCTAACAAACAAGACTGTGTTACATTCTAGTTTTTGGTATTGTTGATACAGGTTGGATTGAAGTATAAGAACGATCTGGAAATATACACGATCAGGCTTAGGTCAGACGATACGTTCCCCAAATATCTGTTTTGTATATCTTCATAATTTATGAAAAATATACAAAATTTTCATTACTCTCTGATTTCTAAACTGCTTTCTAATTGATTTTAAAAATTTGAAACACTAATTTAAATGTTATTTCAACAAACTTTTTTAACAAAATCCAAACAAAATCCTCTAAAAATAATATTGATGATTGTACCTAATTCATCTCGAAAATCTGCAGCAAAATATAAAATTCTAATGAATCGATTTCAACTTCTTTTATTAAAACTTTTTTCGTAGTCCTCTGACTTTTCCCTTTATTCTATAACACTCAGAACTCGAAAGTTACCCGCTAGGTGTCGTTTTTGGATCACTTCCGTAATTTCTGGTTTGACATTTCCAAATTTTCACGTTTGACGCTGAATACTCGGATAATTGGGGAATGTCTGGGCAATTAGTCTCGTTCAACCAGAGACTCGGCTGTCTCCGTAAATCTTCGACCAGCCTCTGCTGGTCGGAGTTTACGGAGACAGCCGAGCGTCTGGTTGAACGAGACTACTGGACAATTAAATGGCACGATTAAAGACAAAAATATCTACAGAAAAAAGATACCATGACACATTTTGGTGACATGTAGTAGGTATATGATATTTTAGGCCCGATATTCAAGAGGGGTCCGATGTAAACAGTTGACCTACCTTCTCTATTTTATGATACCAGGGTATGACTTTTTTAGTAAATCGTTAAATCGATGTTATTTTTTGGATTTTTCATATGGAATACGTTGTAAATAAGAAACATAATTCATGACAAAAAAAGAAAAAAATATATTTTGACCAGGGGTGTATGGGGGGGGGTCCTGTCCACAAGTACCTGTGACCATCCCCAAGGAACTAAACAGCAAAAGGTACTCACTACTAGAATACATGTACTAGTGGCAACGCATAGCCATATAAAAGTCCAAGGCCAAGGAACACGAGACAATTTCAGGCACCCCCGTTTCAAACTCGTTTCAAACTCGTATTTTGTTAATATATCATTTATTTACCTTCTTTAAAATGACATTGTTCGTTTCAGGAGAATTTTTAAAGATTGATTCAGCTTCCTGTAGATATATAAAATGCATTTTATCTTTTTGTATATAGTACTTGTCTTGCATTTTTTTTTACTTTATTGTTCAGATGCAATGTTTTAGAATAGAAAAAGTAAGCTTATTCGTCACGATCCATGGACCTTCTCATCTGACCGAAAGGCAGAGGTTGGTCACTGTATTCAATCGGATCAAATAATAATAAGGGATATTTACACTTTTTTGCATACTAGTAAGTGGAACAGGAATCCCTTCCCTTCAATAATTTTCCGGACATAAAATTTGAGAATGTTATAATACCATCAATTTAAAAAATTGACCAAACAATTATATTCTTTGAAAACTCTGCTCCCAATATTTAAATACATATAAAAAAATTCAAGCAAATGCTGGTGAAACATATCGTGTTTCAATCATTATCTTTTAGCATGTTTTAACGCGTAGGAACTGTATCGTTCATAAATACTGTATCAGCTTAACACTCATTAAATTCTAGTCAACTAGTTCATATTTTCAAATTGATTAGTTTTGCATTTTATCTTGAAATAATAACTAGAAGAAATTAAGTGAATCAAACATTTTTATTTCAATTCAGAAAAGTAAACACGTGTGCATACTAGTACATAATATCCATGGTGAAAAGACATTACAAGGGAGTAACTATTAAGAAAGAAGGAGAGGGACTATGTTCGAAATCGACAATAAACATCAAAGAAAGCTAAGGACAAATGAAACATATAAAATTCGGATATAGGAAACAATGTCCCGTTTATAATATCTATAGCCCTTCGATCAAAGATCCGATATTTTTCTTTCATGACATAGGGCACATGTTTCTGAAGAAAACCGTCATTAAACCATAGCCCCAAATTCATAATGAACATAAGCAAAATGACGTGACTGATTCTAAAATGTCTGTCCTTTTTGAAATTTTGATAACGACGACTTTGCAGAACGAAGACCGTTTGATAATAAACAGTTAGTAGGCTCACTATGTTTTCAACCATTGTAATAACATCGTCAATTTTTCTGTGATTTACTATAGCATGAATCTGAAAGAGCAAATACATTGTCATTGCTGTGGAACTGAAAACCAGAATAACTTCTTCCGTTGAAAAACTCGTGGTTGTAGATGTTGGTACACTTTGACTCCATAACATGCGAAAGCAAATAAATACAAACAGCAAGACCAAGACTTTATAAAAGAGGCGATATTTTTCTAGCGCTCTGAAGACGTTTCCTTCGTTGCAAGGTTGCGCCAAGAGAACTGCTACGAAAACCAAGAGCACAGAAACTAAAGTTACACCAATTACAACAAATGTACCAAATGCGCGATTTCATTTGTGAAGTTGCTTCCGGTTTAGGTAATTCGTCTTTACATTCCAAAAGAGGACAATATTCGTTTCTTAAAAGGCTGGGTTGCATGATTATACTGGTAGATTTTCTCTGTTTTGTTTTCGAAAGTATATGTAGTACAAAGCTGATTGATACGAGAGAATACTGAGCTGTGATTGGTAACAAATACGGATATACATTTTCAAACACACATCTGACCCGTGTAGCACCCGT